CCGGGCCGGGCCCGCCCGGCCGGGCGGCGGGGCCGGCACCCGCGGGGGGACACCCGGCCGCGGCTCGCTGCAGGGCGGGATAAACAGGGGAAAAACAATCAGAGAGACAGGCAAACAGCAGCGGCGGCGTGCCCCCCGCGCGCTTGTCTTCATGTGCCGCTTGCCTCCCGTTCCAGGTGGCGTCGTGAGGGCGAGGCGGCGGCGCGGCCATGGCCGAGGCGAAGGCGCGCAAGACGCTGGGCGCCGTGGAGTACGTGGAGGCGTGCGGCTTCGCGCCCGGCCTGCTGCCCACGCGCAAGGACGTGGTGCAGAACATGCTCTACCTGCTGCAGCCCAAGCGCGCCGGGCAGGCGCAGCGCTCCAAGGAGGGCGCCGCGCAGCTGCTCGCCGAGCACCTGCAGGAGCACTGGCTGCTCTGCAACCTGCACACCATCGCCACCAAGAGCATCAAGAAGATCATCCTCAAGATGTACGAGGAGTTCACCAAGCTCTACCAGACGCGCAAGCAGAGGCAGAACCAGGCGTTCTCGGAGCGGGCGGGCAGGTTCAACGAGAGCTCCGAGAAGCTCTTCGACATCTTCTGCGCGGACGCGCTGATGAGAAATAAGCTGGAGGAGTACAGCGGCATAAAAATGACTGTCACCGAGTGGAAGTTTCTCGAAGATCAGAGAGGCGAAAGAAAAATCTCCTATGAAGACTGCACCGACAAACAAGAACTGAAGCTGATGGAGAGAAGGCGAAAGATCCAGTGCTTAGAGCACTTCAGAAAGCTTGCCAAGGAGGAGAAGGAGGGAAGCAAAGCCAAGGAGAGGACGTACAGGAGCGACGAGCAGTCGGACGAAGGCACGAGCGTGGACGAATCCTGCCCGGCGGAGGAGGAGAACGGAGGGGCTCCGGCCTTTTCGCTGAGGGGGAGGCGAAAGCGCCGCTGTACCGCGTGGTCTGCTGGCGCCACGGCTTCCGACGGCAGCTCCGTGCCCCTGGAGTGCCAGCATATACGGATGAGCATACGGAGAGTTAGGCCTGGCTTCTACGAGACTGTGGACAAGGTGAAAAACTGCTAGCGTATGCCRACGGCAGCGAGCCGAGCTGCTGGAGTAGCAGGTGGCAATACACACTTGAGGCAAGTTTGAAACCCCACAATCAATTGGAAGTGATTGCTGTAGATCCCCAGGCAACACTCGGGAATGTCCTGTCTCCAGGGGCGAGCGCCAGGAGGGCGGCAGCAGCGAGGACGAAGACACGCGAACGTGGAAGGGCAAGTTGTCATCAGCTCATGACCTGAAGGCTCAAGCACGGCAGATGATCCGAGGTTATGTGGCACATAAGCCTCTTCGCCCGCAGTCCTGGCTATAGGAATGTGTTTTTAGAAGTCTCTCACCATTTCGGAGCCAGTAGGAGCCTAATCCTGTAAAACAGGACTCTCATTTACTGCGGGGAAATAACTTGGACTTGTCTACAATGTAAAATTCACGCGCTGAATTTTACTCCCCTTAATCCTACAGGGAGTGCAGGATGTTCAGCCCCTCCCAGAATTTGGCACTTCTGTGAAGRAGAAAGCTATTTTTTTAGCTTGTATTACCCAGTCCTAGACATGCAGTCTGTGATTTTGTTAACAGATTGCTCTCTTGCTTGAGGAGAGAGAGACAGAGAGATGAGATGAGAAATTTTTCAGTACTTTGGTTTTAAAAGTGTTGGTGATTCCGAATGTTTTATTCTACACAGTAACATTTCATTGATCAGGACAAACCTTCCCATAATTTCATGATCCTTAACATGAAATCACTAATCCAGGGAGTGATAGGAGTGAGCCCCACATGAAGCGCTCGTGTTCCACCTGCTGCAGGGGCAGGATGGATGGAGCGATGCCAGCTCCACTGTGTGTTCTGGGGTGAGAAGAACTCGATAAGCTCTTGCCCTGCCTTCTTGGGATATTGGGAGGAAAAAGCCTTCCCAAGAATGCGTAGCTGAGGTGTTTGCAGCAAGAAGCTTCTAAACCTGGGCTTGTTTTTCCATCCCACATAGGTCCGTTCAGACAGCAGGGTAAAGAAGATAGTTTTGCACTAGGAGTTTGTTTGAAAAAGGATAACAATCCTCTCACCCTCCTGTTTGCCCAAGAAGTGGCCTGTGACTTTAGATTACACGCAGCGTGAGGGTAGCTGCTGTTTTCAGTTAGACTCGCTTTACTGGTTTTTAAAGATGAGAGACTTGAACTTCCTGTGAAACCCAGTGCTGGATATCCGGTGAACTTCCCAAACCTCGCCAAAATCCGCTCAAAATGAATAAGCAAAGCTCTGAGTGTCCAGAGAAGTGCTTTGGTAGAAGGAGCTCAAACTTGCCTAGTTTTCAGATTTACCTTCCAGTGTGAACGTTGTTTTTCCCCACTCCAGTATCTCAGCTGCTCCCTGTTCCTCCGCTCTAAACACCCTGCGTATCATTTTACTGACATTTACTTGTGCTGTTTCATTCTCTGTCTTTTGCTCCCTTTAACAATAAATGCATGTACAAATAATTTTGACAGCTCCTGTAGCTTTAATGAATCACTTTGTGGACCGCTTTGACGTCCTATGCCAAAGGAGGAATGAAACACAAAGTAGCTGCCCTGCAAACTGAGGCAAAGCAGCAAGAGCGAGCACAGGGGAAGGCAGATTCCCCCGTGTGCCATCCCTCCTCCAAGGACTGATCTGTCCAGCCTTGAGGGAATTTGCAGCTTCCCAGCAATCTTGCTCCGAAGTGACTGCTGGGATCCACAATGTGTGTCATTGGGAAGCTCTCGAGGGTAAGTTGCTCCAAAATATTTAGTGCATTCTGCGTCACTCTTACTTAGTGTCATTGCAGGTGTGATAACCCACACCCGTGGTCTGCAGCACCCTCCGGCTGCCTCCTCTCTCTGACGTGCTCCTCTGGCTCCCCCATGCAAGCAATGTCATGTGTGAACTATCTGCCTTCCAGCCCTGAGGTGCTGGGCTTGAGCCTCTCACTGGGCTTCCACACCAGCAGCCCTGTTTAAGCAGGGAATATAACCAAGCTCCAACCTCGCAGAAGCAGAGCTTTGTGTTTTTAATAACTGCTGTAAAACCCCCGTCATATTACAGATCTAGCCCGCAGCATAAATGCGAGTGCACAAAGTGAATCCGCCAGGACTGACTCATCCTGGGCTTTATTCAGGGAATTTCAGGCGGTCGGATGCGACTTCCTGCACGCCACAGGTGACCCCGCTTGGGTCGCAGCACCCCGCTCAGCCTGGCTGCTTCCTTTGCCAGCCACGTGTCCCGCAGAAGGTCCTGAGCCGAGGAGGCTGGAAGCTGGGCAGCCAGGCATCTTCCTCCACTTAGCACTTAGTGCTTTTGTTACCTGTGTTGCTTTAAGGAAAAATACAACCCTCTTTTAGGCTGTGGCCCTTTTTTTAGGTCATTCTATACAGGCTGAGCGATGTCCATTGCATTTAAATCATGTTTGGTTGAGTAGCTGAAGTTTTTTGGGTTTTTTGTTTTCAAGCAGGTTTTATGACTGTGGATAGAGCCACAGCCTGGCTCTGTTTCTGCTGCAAAAGAGGGAGAATTTCTAAATGATGTATTCTGATTATTCTCCTTTGGGACCATGGTGCCTTTTTAATCAGGACAGTAAAACTTGTCCCAGGACTCTCCTTTTGTACGTTAACAGTTGTTGACTTTTCCTTTTTTTGATGTGTCCCAAATAAATTAATATAACATGCCTCCAGGCTGTTGTTTCTTCTTTTCTTTTTGCTGGGGGAGGAAAGAGGAAACTGAAGCTAAAATAAATATTCCCTACTTCAGCTCTTGCCTCGGTGCTCTTCCAGGAGCAGCTGTGAAGTGGATGTGCATCTGTCAGGACTTTGCAATGGGAGGAAAACTTCCAGGAACTGGAGCCCAAGGTGAGAATTTAGGCTTCATATATTCATATTTATATTCATATTTAGGCCTCTTTACAAAAAAAAAAAAAATCTAGATCTTGGAGCAACTAAAGATAAGGGCAGAGGGTGAAACCCTGCACCCAGGGCAGTGCTTTGAGCGTGGAGGGTTCGGTGTCGAGGATTTAACGCTGGGGGGCTGAGACCGCTTCCCAACAGCAGTGTAAGGCCAGTTGGTTCCCCCACTCTTGCCTAATTCTGATTCAGGAAAGTGGGYGTTTGCATTCTGAGGGGGAAGAATTAAAAGAAGGAATCTGAATTGATTTAAAATATTTGCATTCTTATTTTCTGATCTTGTTTTATTGAGCCTGTAAGCAGTCATCCAAGCTGAACGTGCACAGGAGAGTTAGAAGTGTTAGTCTCATGCCCTCTATTTCAATCCCTCCTCAGCCTTTAAGAGAGCCCCAGACAGTGCCTCAGAAGCTATCGTTTCTAGATGACGTCCTCAAAACGGTTTGAAATGAGCTTTGCGCCAAGTTTTCCATTCCTGCTGTGCAGGGACATTGGCAACCGGCTCGGCTCTGCCCCACCGGAAAGAAGAAGACAGGGGTGGTCAGGAGAAATTTTGCAAGAGGGAATCTGCAAAAGGTGAGCAGGGCATCAAGCACAGTGTCAGCTTTGAGCCCTTTGCTCAAAACAGCATCCCCAAACCCTGGCATGGATGCTGCTCCCCCAGTCCCCTTGTGCAGCCAGCCCAGGGTGGTATTTTGCCCCCTTCCTGCAAGGCAGAGCTGGCTCTCCAGGCCCTGAGCTCTGCTCTGTGTATGGGGTTGTGGCAAGATGCAGCTGATTTCCCCCCTCCATCTCACTCTTCACCACACAAGTGCTGGCTCTGCCTCGTGCCTGGCATGACACAAAAGATAAAGTGCAAAATGAGCAGCTAATTGCTCTGCTAAAGGAGCCAGATAAGGGAAACGGCCTCCGCCCACGGTACGAGGCACAGAGGTGGTCGTCCATTTGCGTGTTAAGACACGTCCYGACATGCCCAATGAGCAAAGTGCCCTGGGAGCTGGGCTGGAGGCCAGGCCTCAGCCAAGCTGTGTCATGAGTATGCTTGTGCTCAGAGCTGTGCAGCGGGCTGAAGAGGAGAGTGAAAGAGGCGGGCGAAGGTGGCCATGTCCAGCCTTTCCAGCATGGAAAGTGATGCAGAGTCAGGGCCACTAGCGAACTGCAGCTGTAACCATGCAGTGGCCTGTAACACACTCCATGTGTCCTGCGTGGCTCCTGKGGGAAAGGGGGTTACTGGTTTGAGCACCATGGCGTTTCAAAGGAGAGCCTTGTGGAGGATGGATGTAAGGGAGGGGGCGACATGGTTGCTCCTCCAGTGCTTCTGGAGAGCAGCTGTGGCCCTGGCACTCACATTGACAAGCAAATATACACYCAGAAGTGGCTAGTTATGCATTTACTTCATTTCATTTTTTAATGTATTGTTTCAGCCAAGCTCCCTGTTTTCCACGGCTAAGCCCTGCCCGTGACACCAGGTAGTTGCSTGGTTTGTTTCGTGGGGCCATTGTAGCCATTCTGCCCCCTCTCTGCGCCCCAGCAGTGGCCTGGTGGGGCTCACTGCACGGGATTACAGCACCTGAATGACTGTTTGCGACTTTCCTCCCTGACAGTGCCTCCTTGGGAACCATCTGTGGCAAAATCATGGGCTGCTGCTCAGCCCACAGCTTGCATCACACAGACTCCATGGAGCTGCCTCAGCCGCAAACCCCTCCTTCTCTCTTCTGGYTAAGTTCTCACCTGCAATTCTGGTGGGACAAGCAGGACGCTGAGTTTCTGGATGAAAGAGGTGGAAAGTCCATAAGTTTTTGGGCAGGGTGGCTCCAGTTATGCAGTTATCCATTAGCTGCATAACCGTTAGCGTAGTAACGAGCAGCACCTAAGGAGCTTAACCAAGTTCCCAGTTTCCGGGGCCAGGGCAGGTGAAGGCAATTAGCAGACAGGCACTATTAAAGGGCCACAGCAGCCAGGGCCAGAGACAGAGCCAGGCACCATGGCCAGGGTGCTGGGTGATGGGGACCTGCGGCACCTGCTRAAGCTGCACCGCACGGAGATCGCCATGGCTGTTGACGACGTCTTCCCACTGCTGCACGGCCTGGCTGATCACAATGTCATCACGGAGCACATGTTCAAGGTGAGGCGACTGGCGGCGGCAGTGCCGTGGGGACCCCAGAGTTGGGCTCATGGTGGCTGCTGGCACCGCCAGGAGACACTGAGCCGGACAGAGCGTGAGGGCTGCCACCGAGCACTGCACACCCTGCTCACCTGGCTGCTGGGCCGCGACACTGGGGCCATCCGCAGCTTCTGGGCTGTCCTCTTCAAGGACTACAACCTGCAGCGCTATGCTGGCCTCCGGCCCATCCGCCGGCACTTCCCCACAGGTAGRCGGCTGGCCCAGGTGGCCACGGGCAGTGAGGGCAGTCCCACTGCCAGCTCCCTGCATCCTCCTCATGCCTTGCAGACAGTGACCCAGGGCAGCAGCAGCGCCGCGCTGGGCGACCATCCCCCAGCCCACCAGGCCAGTGGTCCCAGGCCAAGAGGAAGCCCCGTGAGGAGCAGGATGGGCTGCGGGCCTCACCACAGCATCCTGGTACAAAGTGCTGAACCCCTCTTGATTGCCATGCTGTGGGACCCTACCGTGACCCCCCCCCCCCCCATCACCCAACAGGACCTCCAGGCAAGGCCAGGGCACCAAGAAGGTTGGAGAACGTTGAGAGCCGACGCTCACCCCGGGCCGCCGAGGGTGGCATCCCAGTGCAGCGCCACGGGACGGGGAGCAAGAGCCGCATCCCGAAGYCCACAGCCCGACCCAAGGTGGCCCCCACCATGCAGCCACCGTCCCTACCTGGACCCTCTGCTTGTGTCCTCTCCCCACAGAGTGCCAGTGGTCCCCAGGCCCAGCTCCCCCCACTTGCTGCCCGTGCCCGACTCCCAGCCCCACACCAGGTGAGAGCAGCCCCCCAGCAAATACACACAGCAACAGGCATGATGATCCCAGCTGGGATGACCATTATGGCCTGAGCAACCACCCTCCCTGCACAACAGCAGAATGAGGACGAGTGTGCAGCGTGTGGCGACGGTGGAGAGCTCATCTGCTGCGATGGCTGCCCCAAGGCTTTCCACCTGGGCTGCCTGGTGCCCCCACTCACTGAGGTGCCCAGGTGCGCCCTGCGCAGCCCCTCAACGGCTGTGCCGCCATGGCTGACAGCCCTGCAACGGCCGCCCTGGCACCCCTCATGGCCCTGTTGTGCCCCCACAGCGGGACATGGCGGTGCCGCTCCTGCGACACCCAGCTCCACAGGCAGCCGGATCCCACAGCGCAGGTGGAGCTGCTTGCCAGCACCGAGGTACCCACCAGGCTGGGCCTCCCACCTCAGGGCTCAGCCACCCCTGGTCACAAGCCCTCAGGGCTGAGGCAGCTCCACTCCCCCTCTCAGGAGCTAACACCAAGCACTGCATGCAGCATCTGTGGGGCTGGAGGCAACATGAACTACTGCAGCCGCTGCCTGACAGCTTTCCACCCCTGCTGCCGCTTCCCTGTGCATGGTGGCAGTGGCAGCCCCACAGGGTGAGTCTTCTGAGGCAAGAGGCTTGACTGAGCCTTGGTGCTGCCATCCTTGCCTCCCAGGCTGCATAAAACACCTGCACACAGCAGCTGCACACAATACACACGCTGGTGGTGGGTCCCTGAATGGATTCTTACTTCTTGTGCCCTTCCCCTGTCTGTCGCAGGGGGCTCATGCTGTGCAAGTCCTGCAGTGTCAGCTCAGAAATGACTCAGCTGGAGGGAGCTACAGTCGCTGGAGAGGATGCACTACAGGCAGTGAAGGCAAGTACTGCTACAGTTTTGCTCAGGGATGGGGAAATGACCATGCTCAGCAAGGGCACAGCTCCCCACCAGCTAGAAAAGAAAGGAATTACAGCTGTAACAGGACAAAAAATAAGAGGCAAGTAGCAGCCCCATGAACAACACAGCCCTCAGGAAGGTTGGTGCTGCCTGCTGGGTGTAGGCAAAGGTGTCAAAGGGGTGACACAAAGGGAAGGTGCAGCACTCTGGGGCACAAGTGGAGCATCCTGTATGTACCTGCACCTGCAGATGGGAGTTGTGCCCCAAGTGTACAAGTGCTATGCACAGCTACAGCAAAAGACTGGGGGAGAAAGAAAGGTGGCTTATAGACAAAATCAGTGGCAGAAGTGAAACCAGCAGTGATCATGAACCTCTACCCCTAGGGAACTGAAGAGCCTAGCGGGGACCTGGTGCTAGGCAAGGAAGAGCTGGATACGCTGCTAGGCGAGGTAGGGACCGAAAGAGGGCTCCACAAAAAACCAACATGCAGCAAGACAGCTGGAAAACCAAGGACCATGTTGAGGTATAACAGAAACCTTGGATGATTGCTGCAGAGCTCCTGGGATGGGATCCTGCAGTGGGCTTTGCAGAGCATGACACGGCCACGCGTGGATAACGATGGGATCTGCATGTAACACCATAAGGGAACAGGGCAGCACAAGACAGCTCGAAAGTCGACAACGTGGCAGGAGAGAGGAAGAACACAAATGTACAAGATGAAAATATATCAAATGGACATGAGAAAAACAGAATGTAAATACATTCAGTAAATAATAAAAGTACAAAGTGTAACAAAAAAACGTAAAGAAAAAAAGGAAGACAATGGAAAGCGATTATAAGACAAAAAAAAAGATAACTAATAAAAAGAAAAAGCAAAACCGAGAAAAGCCTACAACACTCGGAAGAGCACTCCCAAAACAACTTACCTGCACCAAACGCCTGCCACAACACACCCACGCAACCATCCCAAAACACGTGC